TACATCAAGTGCAGGCGAATGTTCATCGAGAGCAGGCATCACAGAGAATTCGAACAATTTACGCATCACCGAAGTAAGCGAAATTGGACGAAAGTTTGCAGGATCAGATACATCACCTTTCGCTAAATGGAAAAGACTTGAGCATGTCGCCATAGGGCTGGTGTATACGACCACTGAGAGCAGAGTGTAAAGAGCAGAGACAATACGGGTGCAATGTCAGATGCTAGAGCCTTCAGCATTTCAGCTTTCAAATGATCAGGACCAGGAGCTTTCCCATTTGGCAAACGCTTAATGAGGGAGACAAGTGTATCAGCATCAAATAGACCCAAATCAGCGGTGGACACATCATAAGGCAAATCAGAGAAATTGGACGGAGCAGCAAGGCGAGACGCATTATTCAACAGGGAGCCATCATAGACAGAGGCAAGATGGGACGCCATTGTGTTGACAGAGGCAGTTGGACCGTCTGGATGACTGTACGTTGCAGAGCATTCCTTGTTTCTTTTAATGCGCTTGATTGCAGCAGTAGCTTTCGAAAAATCCTTTTCCAAATCAGAGCAAAACTGATTCCACGATCGACGCTTAGCAGCTTGTACAAGAGAACGAAAACGCCTGTGAGCAGCTTGATAGAGATTCCATGTTTCGACTTTGGCAAAACGACTTGCCCCACCTCCATCTACTATACATAGTATCTCTTTCACGAGCAGCATCCTCAATTTCCTGTGTCCAGTACTTTTTCCAGTGGCCAGGACGACCAGATTTCACACCAATTGAGCTATCCAGAGATTCATACAAACATTGATTCAAAGAATCGTTGATTGCATCAATATCTGGACAAACACCAGGGGGAGCAGACACCAAACCAGAGAGAGAACCAACCAAAGGAGCAACAGAAGTTCGAAAGGATTCACGAAGCAAGCCCAAAGGCCGCTTTTTCCTCAATTTCGAGAGCTTCCATTGCCGTCTAGGGGCCAAACCACCAGAGCTACCAGAACCAAGAGTATCATCGGGAGGGGGCACATACTCGAAAGTAAGTACCATCAGCCGATGATCAGAGCCAAGAGACAGATCAGATTCAACCACCAGTTGAGGATGTAACAGAGCAGCCTCGCCAATGTTTGTAAGAAACAGATCAATGATGCTATGAACCTCTTGTTGACGTCGAAAAGTTGTGAATGTGGGTGTACCAATGCTAAAGACTCATTGAGAATGGAAAAAGAGGACTCCTCCAGCCATGGCAGTAGTGAGGTACCACGAGGATTAGCATTAGTATCACCCAGTAGAGATCCAAAGCGAGCATTGAAATCACCACAAAGGATGGTATCACTGGTTACGGGTAACGAGCGAAGAAGCGAGAGCACCTTATCCGAGGATAAGGGTGGAGGCAGATACACACAATGAACCGTAAGGGTGCCAACCTTAAGGGACAAAGTGTGTGCATTGTAAGATGGAAGTTGAGAGACAGAGAAAGGACAGGAAGGAGAGACAAAGGCAGTAATGCCACCAGAACCACGGTTAAATGCACCAGGTACTTTAGAGCCATAGAGGTGGAATTGAGACCAGTTAGTAGGGAAAGAACCAGAGGTTAGCCAGGTTTCAGTGACAAGCAGTACATGAGTGTTCTGAACATGATGGAGAACATCATGTACCGTTGATTGACGTAGACCATTGGCATTCCAAAGGGAGAGAGAGACTTGAAAGGAGTGGACTGGGTTGTTATTGGGAGTATGACTAGTAGCTATGTTACTCATTAGAGTTCCATAGCAGAGCCATTGCTGTCATGATCGTCCTTTTGACGCTTGAATAAGAATTTAGCCTTTTTGGGCTCCTTCTCGGCAAGACGACCGATAGCTTCAGAGACGGCTATATCTAGCTCTTCTTGAGAGATCCAGCCAGCAGAGACAAAGTATTTGCCAACGCCACTAACGTTGAGTGGACGAAGGAAAGAGAGGGTTTGCAGAGCACGGTGTTGGTGAATTCATAGATCAATTGCTCACGCTCTTCAATGGCAAGATCAGCATATTTGGGATCAGCAATGTTGTTGGGATCCAAGGGTTGAAAGTTTTCAATGTGATCAGCTTCACATTTGCGCATACAGGCGAGAAACTCCTCTACATATTGGATGTGGAGCAAGATGCCAATGACGCCAGTGGCAGGGAAACAGATGTCTAACACACGGCCAGTATCAATACCAGCTCGGCGAAGTTGGGTAACGAACCTCAGAGCGCAGGATTTTACCAGAGCGGCCTAGATACACATACTGGTATCCTTGTTGACCTTTGGTGGTGGCGGTTTGGAACATACGACCTGCAGCAAGACGTCGCTTGGTAGTACGGGCAGGGTCACGATGTTGGGCACCTTTACGGGCAGCAGATGCGTAGCTACCTTGAGTAGCATCGGGTTGGTGAATAGTAACAAGCTCTTGGGTTGGTGTTACCTGAGAGCTGGATTGAGCACCTTGATTGGTGCGGCGGGATGAGAGTTGGCCCTGTAATTTTTCAATTGCAAGGTCCTTGGCCTGTAACTGATTTTTCAATTCTCCATTTTCCTTTTCCAAAAGGTCCAGGCGAGCAAGGAGATTGTCATGTTGCTGTACTCGCTCGGTGAGAGAGACCAGTTGTTGCTGTTGTGTTGAACAGTTTGGATGAGCTGATTCAAATCCATAGATTGCTGATTATTGTTGAGCATGGCTGAAAATATTCTATCAAACTGTGGAGATTCAATAAAATATGAAAAGATGTCCAACAAACTGGAAGTTATAACACAATGTACGTTGACTAAATGCAAGTAAACTGGTACAACTGAAGGCTAGTTGGAGTGTTTGTTGTCGAGATAAACCGCTTTTATAGTGAGGAAATACTTTTTACCGGGGGAAGGTGGCAAAAAGTGATGAAAAACGGAAAGAGATGGGGATGTAGCTCAGTTTAACGTTGATTTTTATTATATACATGAATTCAATGGGCACTCGATGGGAGCATTAGCCTAGAATTCTAGAAACAAAAGAGTAGCAGGTACAAAAAACCCTTAAGGGGACACTAACTAAGAAAAGGGGAAAAAGGAAAGTGTGGTAGTGGCAAAGGAACGGCATGAATACTGGTATTGTTGATTTGATCTGGAGGAATGACCAACGGATGGGAACTTTGATAATTACTTACCACCGTGGCATCGCACCGAGAAAACAAAACAACAAACGTTCATCAATGAAGAGACTATCTAGCAGAGAACCATAACAACCCTGAATCAAGATCAGCAGGGATGACAGCCAGCGGATGCACTAAACAATCAATGGCATGAAGCAGAGCAAGCAAAGCAGACCAATAAGATGGAGGACCATCAGAGGCTTTCACAGGTAAGCAATTAAGGGCATAGTCTATACGATGAATACCAGGAGGAGCCACAGGCAGAGCATCGAGAAGTGTTCGATCCAGAGCACGGCATGTCAGAAAGTGATTTCGAGATATAAAATCACCCATCACGCACGGACACTCTTCACGCATGTTTGTGAAACGTCCAAGACGCCAGCGAACAAGGCGACTTCGAGCAGATCGACCAATTGGTAGGTACAAAATGGGATCTGGACGAGATACAGAACGACGACAAGCACGGAGGAGGGTCTGGGTACCAGAAACAGCAGCAGCAGCAAGTTGATGATCTACTTGATCTTGCCAATACGAATCAAAGACTTCAGTAAGACCAGCAGTGGTGAATGGCGGCGGATCAGGTAGTGTCAGATACATACGGGTTTTGACAAATAAATCTGTCTAGACGAGTGGTACAGTAATCCACGACGAAGCAGAACCAACAAGCAATCATCAGGGAGAGTATCAGCACGAAGAGCATAACGTGTTGCCAGGACATTATATCGATGCTTCATGCTGGGAATACAGGTCAAATGTTTGGCAACATTGTACCACGTACTACCAACAAACATACCAACCAATCGATTTTGCAGAGCATCAAGAGCCTTGAAGTCACGGAAAGAGAGATGAGATATAGCTAAGCCGTATTCCAGCTTGGGTCGAATAAAGCTTTTATACAAACGAGCACAAAGCAACAGAGAAAAACCATTTCGATTGACACCAACCGAATTCAATAATGCTATTGTCTGATAGCACCAGAAGCACGCAGATTGAGAATCCCAGGGGCATACAGACCTTTATATCTAAACGGCATACCAAGATACGTGAATTCCTCTACCACAGGAAGAGGTTCACCGTATAGAGACAATGGATGACGAGTAGAGGCAGTAGGAGCACAAAGTACAGCGCATTTTGATGGTTTCCATCTGTAGCCAAGAGAGAACGAGTGATCTGAAGCGACATCCAACATGGTTTGCACATCAGTACGAGAGCCAAATATGGCCACATCATCAGCAAAGAGTAAACTATTGATATGAACAGGATGCATTCCGGGTGGAGATACCATAGTACCACGGTTGACAGCAGCACGAAGAACAGCAGGCAGAGAGTTGATGTACAGAGAGTACAAGTGCGGACTGAGCACTGAACCTTGGAGTACACCAGTAGCAGGCGAAAAAGGGTCAGAGTTGTGGTTTGCAATCAGTACAGAGACTAGTACATCATCGAACATATTGATCAATAAACTAAGGATTGGACGAGGTAGTGAAGAATGAGCAAGAGCATCCCAAATAACGTTGCGATCCACTGTATCGTATGCAGATTTGATGTCCAGAAAGGCTACAACAGGATAGTGGTGATGAGTGAGGAAGTAGTCATGCATCAAGTCATGTAAACAGAGGGCTTGATCCAGAGGACTACGTTGTGGACGAAAACCACCTTGAGCAACATCAAGTGCAGGCGAATGTTCATCAAGAGCAGGCATCAATGAAAATTCAAACAATTTACGCATCACCGAAGTGAGCGAAATTGGACGAAAGTTTGCAGGATCAGATACATCACCTTTCTTGTAAATGGGAAAGACCTGAGCATGACGCCACAATACAGGAGTGTACGACCATTGAGAGCAAAGCGTAAATAGCAGAGACAATACGGGTGCAATGTCAGATGCTAGAGCCTTCAGCATTTCAGCTTTCAGATGATCAGGACCAGGAGCTTTTCCATTTGGCAATCGCTTAATCAGAGAGACAATAGTATCAGCATCAAACAGATTTGTAACAGAGGGATCATTGTAGGGTAGATCCGATACATTCGGTTCAGGAGCAACAGGACGAGAAGCAGAGTTAAGGAGTGTACCATTGTATACAGATGCAAGATGTGATGCCATTGCTGTTACTGAAGCAGCTGGACCATCTGGATGGCTATAAGTAGCAGAGGATTCTTTGTTTCGCTTTATGCGTTTGATAGCAGCAGTAGCTTTAGAGAAATCCTTTTCCAGATTAGAGCAGAATGTGTTCCACGACTTTCTTTTGGCAGCCTGTATCAGAGAGCGAAAACGTCTAAGAGCAGTTTGATATATACCCCATGTTTCAACTTTGGCAAAGCCACTTGCCCATCGCCATCGACTATATGAGGCATCTCTTTCACGAGCTGCATCTTCAATTTCTTGTGTCCAGTACTTTTTCCAGTGACCAGGGCGACCAGATTTCACACCAATTGACCCGTCAAGAGATTCATACAAACAACAATTCAGAGAATCATTGAGTGCATCAATATCAGGACGAACTCCATCAGGAGCAGAGACCAAACCAGAGAGAGAATCAACCAAAGGAGCAACAGAAGATCGAAAGGATTCACGAAGCAAGCCCAAAGGCCGCTTTTTCCTCAATTTCGAGAGCTTCCATTGCCGTCTAGGGGCCAAACCACCAGAGTTACCAGAACCAAGAGTATCATCGGGAGGGGGCACATACTCGAAAGTAAGTACCATCAGCCGATGATCAGAACCAAGGGACAGATCAGAGTCAACCACCAGTTGAGAATTCAACATAGCCGTCTCGCCAATGTTGGTAAGGAACAGATCAATGATGCTGTGTACCTCTTGTTGTCGCCGAAATGTTGTAAAGGTGGGTGTACCATAAGCTAGAGACTCATTGAGGATCGACAACGAAGCCTCCTCAATCCATGGTAGTAGAGAGTTACCACGGGGATTAGCAGTAGTATCACCTAGTAGAGATCCAAAGCGAGCATTGAAATCACCACAAAGGATTGTATCACTAGTTATAGGTAACGAGCGAAGGAGCGAGAGCACCTTATCCGAGGATAAGGGTGGAGGCAGATACACACAATGAACCGTAAGGGTGCCAACCTTAAGGGACAGAGTGTGAGGATTGTAAGACGGGAGTTGAGAGACAGAGAAAGGACAGGAAGGAGAGACAAAGGCTGTAACACCACCAGAACCACGGCCAAAAGCGCCAGGTACTTTTGTGCCATATAGATGGAATTGAGACCAGTCGGAAGGGAAAGAACCAGATAGAAGCCAAGTTTCAGTGACAAGGAGAACATGCGTATCCAATACATGTGAGAGGACATCGTGCACAACTGATTGACGGAGACCATTGGCATTCCAAAGGGAAAGAGAGACAGGAAAGGAGTGGACGGGGTTGTTGTTGATATGACTCTGATGTATTATAGAGCTCATTAGAGTTCCATAGCAGAGTCATTGCTGTCAGAAGCTTTTCTACGCTTGAGCAAGAATTGAGCCTTCTTGGGTTCTTTTTCAGCAAGGCGGCCCATGGCTTCGGAAACAGCTGTATCAAGTTCCTCTTGGGAAATCCATCCAGCAGAGACAAAGTATTTTCCAACACCACTGACATTGAGAGGACGAAGGAAGGAAAGAGTTTGCAGAGCACGAGTGTTTGTAAACTCGTAGATCAGTTGTTCTCGATCCGCAATAGCAAGGTTTGCATATTGAGGATCAGCAATGTGCTTGGGATCCAGAGGCTCAAAATTCTCGATGAGCTCAGCTTCGCACTTGTGCATGTAAGCAAGAAAAGTGTCGACATATTGGATATGGACCAGAACTCCAATAACACCAGAAGCAGGGAAACAAATGTCGAGAACACGACCAGTATCAACACCAACCTTACGGAGGGTAGCACGAACCTCAGAGCGCTGGATCTTACCAGATCTACCAAGGTAGACATATTGGTATCCCTGTTGGCCCTTAACAGCAGCAGATTGGAAGAGACGGCCAGCAGCAAGACGGCGTTTGGCTGTACGAACAGGATCAGGGCGTTTAGCTCCAGAGCGAGCAGCAGAGAGATAACTACCTTTAGTGGCAGTATCGGTAGCAGTAGTGGTACTAGCAGTAGTAGCAGGATCTTGGGACTGTACGACCTGAGAGATGAACGGACGTTCCTGATCTACCTCAGGTGTAGGGGCTTGAGTAGTTCCACGTGATAGTTGGCCCTGTAATTCTTGAATTACCAGGTCCTTGGCCAAAAGATTTTTTTTTAGGGCTTGGTTTTCCTCTTCTAACTTGTTCATACGCTCCAAGAGGTGGTCATGTTCATGTACTTTCTCCTGAACTGAGGCAAGTTGCTGCTGAATGTGCTCAAGTAACATGGGCAACTGACTGATGTCAAAACCTTGTAGGCTTTGAGAGATTGGCGTAGTCATTTTGTGAAAAATTACTAGGATTCAAAGAAACTGGCAAGTTGTTCAACAAGACTGAAATTAATATACAATAAACTATGGATAAACGCAAGTCTACTGCTGTAATTTGGTATTGTTTGGTGAACTAGTTGTCGAGATAAACCGCTTTTATAGTGAGGAAATACTTTTTACCGGGGGAAGGTGGCAAAAAGTGATGAAAAACGGAAAGAGATGGGGATGTAGCTCAGGCGAAAATGTATGTGTTTATTAAAAGCAAGAAGAAATTAATAAAGTAAAGGCTAAATGCATTCGATCTTTTGATCATTATTGCTAGCACTTGGGAGGCGAACGTGAGGAAGTGTCAGAACCAAGGTTCTGGGATTCAGGGAGCGACAAATATTTCAGGAACGCTATGCAATATTTGAATTGTCTGGGTGGTGGGTGGGAGGCACATGGCTAATAAGAAAGATCAAAGACAACATGAATTCCCTCGCATCGTGCGTAAAAGAGTGTAGCAGTGGAGGGGCAAACAGAGGAAGCAGATCACAATCGGTTCACCACAGAGCAGGATGTCAGTAGACGCATGTTAGGCCGGGGAAGCCCACACTTGTCCTGGAACTGGATCCGTTGTGTAATCGCCATCGGGATTACAGAGCTGGTCAAAATGTCACAGCAAGGTACAGAGATCAGACCACCAGGGTGGACAGTTGGAAGGAGATGAGGAGGATGGAATCAAGTTCAAAGCATGGTCAATGATGGTGCCGGTGAAGTCAGCAGGCGGAACAGGAAGAGACAGAAGCAAAGTAGGTGGCAAAGTGGGGCATTCATGTAGATGGCGACGGGATGTATGATCTTCATTGCATGCACAAGGTCGTGGCTTACCCGGAAGCCATCCCATTCTATAACGAATAAGACGACTACGACAAGGACGACTGGCAGGTACATACATAACAGGATCAATGCCAATAGTGGGTCGGCAAGCACGGATCAGCACCATGTCTGTTTTTGTCAGGAACTCAGCGTGCCAATGTTGGCGTTCAGCAAGGAACCATTGTTTCATGTGACGTTGATTTGCAAAAGGTACTTCATCAAGCGCGCGGGCAGCCATGTGTTGCTTTTTTAATCTTTTCAAAGATGAACCAGGTAGAGAATCAGAGAGCAGTATCAGCAGGCCATCTTCTGGGAGGAATTGTGAGCGCAAGCAGAATTGAGTCACCAGTATAGCA